TAAATAAGTAGATGTGCTAAAAACTTAAACTTGTAGGGTGGCCGGACGTGGTGGCACACACCCTCAATCCCAGTACTGAGGCAAAGGCAGGCCAGCTGAGGCTACAGGGAGAGCCTGTCTCTAAAAGACTAAAAACAAAACAAAAAACAAAAACAAACAAGAAAAACTAGATCCAAGGTCTGGAGAGACGGCTCAGTGGTTAAGAATGCCTGCTGCTCTTCCAGAGGACCCAAGTTCAGTTCAGTTCCCAGAACCTACATCAGGCAGTTTACAACCACCTTTAACTCCAACTCCAGGGGATCTAATGCCCTCTTCTGTCCAGCACCCACAATTAGTCAGAAGAGATATAGAAGGCCACTACATAGTAATAAAAGGAATAATTCATCAAGAAGACATAACATGGGCTGGAGAGATGGCTCAGAGGTTAAGAGCATAGGCTGCTCTTGCAGAGAACCAGGTTCAGTTCCCAGCATCCACACGGCAGCTAACAACCATCCATAACTCCAATTACAGGGGATCAGATGCACTCTTCTGACTTCCTTGGGCATTGTACAAAATGGGTGCCCCTACCTACATGCAGGCAATACACTCATACACATAAAATAAAATATTAAAAATATTAATAAGGAAAAATAAATAATGAGCATGACCACAACACCCAGGAATTCTAGGCTATGTATGATCAAGAGACCATGCCTAAGAAGCCACAGAAGAGAGGGGCTGAGGTAAACACTAAGGGCATTGAGAATTTGTCCAATAACACTGTAACAAAATGCCCCAAATCTAGAAAAAGAGACATTCAAGTACAAACACAAACATGACCAGAGAAGAGTCTCTCCAAAACATGTTACAATTAATATGTCAAGAATTCAAAGAAGTGGCACATGCCTCTAATCCCAGCATCGGGCAGGCAGAGGTAGGCGGATCTCTATGAGTTCAAGGCCAGCCTGGTCTACTTGGCAAGTTCCAGGCCAGCTGAGGCTACAGGGAGACCCTGTCTCCAAAAGACCAAAACAAAAAACAAAAAACAAAACGGGGCCAGCCAGAGAGATGGCTCAGCAGTTAAGAACACTGGTTGTTCTTGCAGAAGACTGGGGTTTGAATCCCACACGGCAGTTAACAACTGTCCATAACTCCAGTCCCAGGGAATCCAATAGCCTCTTCTGACCTCCACAGGCGTTGCACGACTCAAGTTAATTCTTAATTTTATTTTTTTAATTAAAAAAAATTTTTTTTGAGACAGGGTCTCCCTGTAGCCACAGTTGGCCTGAAACTCACCTCATAGACCAGGTTGGCCTCAATCTCACAGAGCTCCAACTGCCTTTGCTTCCCAAGTGCTGTGATTAAAGACAGACCACCACGCTCGGCTTATTTATTTTCATTTTTGTATATAAGTGTTTTGCCTGTATATATGCAAGTGTACCATGTTCATGCAATGCCTACAGAGACCAGAAAAGGACATCTGATCCCCTGGAACTGGAGTTACAGATGGTTGGTAGAACCCTGATTCTCTTCAAAAGCTGTCAGTGCTCTTAACTGCTGAGCTCTCTCTCCAGCCCCCAAAAGTTAATTCTTACAAAGAGTAACTAGGGGCTGTCAAGATGGCTCAACAGATAAAGGACCTTGCTGACAAGCCTGAAGAACTGAGTTTGATCCCCACATGGTGGGTAATTAAGGAGGTAATTATTAAAATTTTTATTTTTACTTATTTACTTTTTTGAAACAGGGTTTTACTATGTAGCCCTGGCTGGCCTAGAATTGGCTATATAGACCATGTTGGCCTTAATTACAGAGACTGGCCTGTATTAAAATTTTTAGTATATGCCAGGCGTGGTGGCACACGCCTTTAATCCCAGCACTCCAGAGGCAGAGGTAGGCAGATCTCTGTGAATTCAAGGCCAGCCTGGTCTACATAGTGAGTTTCCTCCCCCTCTCAAATAAATAAATAAATAAATAAATAAATAAATAATTTTTAGTATGTATATGCCCTTGAATCAGTTATTCCACTTCTAGATAATTTCATAGAAATTCTTTAACATGTGCACAAAGATATATAAGGTTATTCACCTGAAGCCTTTTGTAGGGGGGATTAATAGAAAAAACTGGAACTTTCTATAGGCTTGTTGTTCTTGAGAAAACAGTTGGAGGATTACTAAGCAATCATTGAAATGAGTAAATCTGTAAGCAATTACATGAAAAAATTTCAAGATATAAATGACAAAAGATAGGTGATTGGATGCAAATGACAGGCAGGACCACTTTGTATTCTATATAAACTCATGTAAAAATATGTATAAGACACTTGCACTTTTAATAGCCCAGTGAATTGTGCTTTTTTGTTGATTTCTGAGTGCTGTTTTAACAGCACTGGGTATCAAACCACAAGCCTCCTGCATGGTAAGCAAGCACTCTCCCATTAAGTTGTACCTGCAAACCATCCAGTGTTGTCAGTAGTTAAGAGCACTTGCTGCTCTTACAGATACCCCAACACCCACAATTCGAGGATCCAACACCCTCTTCTGGCCTCCTTGGAGCTGCATGCACATAGTGCACTTACATACATGCTGTTTATTTTTACTTTGTATGAGTGTTTGCTTGCAAAACCCAAAGCGAGATCCTCTGCAAGAGGGATTAAATGCTCTTAGCTATTGAGCCAACTCTCCAGCCTCTTTATTTCTTGGGACAGTCTCACTCTACAGCTTAGTTTGGCCTTGAGTACACAGCAATCTTCCTGCCTCAACCTCCTGAGTGCTAGGATTTATAGTGAGCAAAAGCACCTGAATCCAATGTTGTTTCAAATGACTGCAAATTTTATGTATTCATGTAGTAACTTTTAATTAAGAAAAAGGAAAATAGTTTGGAAAAACACAACAAACTGTCGTCTATTTTTGTGAATAAAAGTTTCCAGAAAAAAAAGCCACACCTGTGTTTAAAAATTTAATACCTGTGTTTAAAATGAGCAGCCAAGCATTGTGGCACATATCTTTGATCCCAGCACTGGGTAGATGGATCTCTGTGAGTTTGAAGCCAGACTGGTCTACATAGTTCCAGGCCAGCCACAGCTAGCTACACAAGAAATTCTGTCTTTAAAAAAAAAAAAAAATCCTACAAAACTGATTAATTCGTCTGTGATTTCAAAGAGCTGGAAAAAGCTGGGCTAGCCTCTGGCTCCTTGAAAGCTGTTCATTGCCCACTTCTGTTTGGCCTAATATCCACCCCAATGACTATCAGATAAATTCTTCTGGAATGTATAAACTCACCATTAGTTTACATCAACCACAAAAGGCAAAGAATGCTATCAGATAGCATCTAAATCTACAACAGGGATTTTTTTCTCATCTGCTGTAACCAGCCTACTTGGTGTTTCCACCAAAGCATCTTCCCACTTTCTTTTGTTCTGTTCATACCATGTTTAACATGATATTTGAGGCAACCTGAGTCCATGTTCTTGGGCCTTGATTACTCATATTTGGCTCCAGAGGAAACTCTTATTCCCTTTGTTGGAAAGCTAGGGTTTTTTTCATCCATATCTTCAAGAAGGGAGAGGAACAGGTGATGGGGAGCTTGTTACTTTTCAGTATAAACTGTTAACAATAAATTAAAACATGCAAGTATTTAATTTTTGTTAAAGAAATTTTAATATGAAGAATTCATATGAAAACATTTTTTCAAGCACAAGTGAGATAGTCCCCAAGTAACCCTACTCTAATAATTTCTCAGTCACAAAATAAGATATTTTCCTTGGTATTTTTCCAGTTCTACTTCTTTTATGGCACAATTTGGAATTGCAAAAGAATCTCTCTCCTTTATGGATTACTACCTTAAATACGACCTTCCAGACCAAGAATTCGAAGCCTAGCTCGCATAATTTCAGCAGAACATCCCAAACCTGGTAGAAGAGTTTCTTTACCATCCCCATTTCCTAGTAATATTAGAGCATTATATACTTGATGTGTATGAGCATTTTGGCCGCATACATGTATTATCAGTGCACCTGTGTTGTGCAATGACTACAGAGGCCAGAAGAGGGCGTTGGATTCCCTGTAACTGGAGTTAAGGTTTGTTGGTAGCTCCAGTGTGGGTGCTAGGAACCGAACCCCAGTCCACTGCAAGAGCAGCCAGTGCTCTTAACCAATGAGCCATCTCTCCAAGCCCCTATTGTTTCTTAAAAAACGTCTACCCCACATCAACACTTACAAATTATGTTTTGAGTTTTTATGTTCTCTGGGATTTTGTATTTTCTTGGGGTTGGAGAGAGGCAGTTAATAAACCTGGAATAAGTCAGCGGCAGTTACGGTGGTTAACTAAGGAATTCTCACTGCACACCAGATCAGGCACCGGTGCACCGTTGCATCAGAAGCAGCATGACTTTGCACAATGGCAAGTCTGAACATTCTCCTAGGAGTGCCCTTTAAAACGGAAGAGGCCAAATCAGGAACTATGAAGCACACGAGGTATTAATAAGTGAACGCGAAGTGCCAGCTGCGCGGGCTGTCACTCAGGCCCACCAAGCCCGGGTTCAGTGCGTACTGCAGGGCGGCTGGCCTGCGGGAACCCGTCCCGGGGATGCCCGGCGCCTCCCTCCGGGCGGAGAACACGCGGCCTGACGCACGTCGCTCGGCGAGCGGCCGCCTCCATTTTGTCCCCGGTCTCCTCTAGCGAGCAGCGTGCTGCTATTTTTAAATCTCTAAATCCGGGAAAGAGGGAGGGGCATGGGCAGGCTGCGGGGCGAGGGACGGAGGCCGGGGCTGTGGAGGTCATCGAAGCGAGGCCGGGACAAAGGACACGCAGGGGACGAGGCTGGCGGAACCCGCCGGGCGACTTCCGGCAGCGCCCGGGAAGGGGGTGCGCGGACCGCCGACCCCAGCCTCCCGCCCTCGGCGAGGACAAAGCGGGGCCGGCGCGCGCCCGGGCCCTAGCCCCGCCCTTACCCTCAGCGCGTGCCCGCCCGCCCCTCACCGAGAGCGCGCGCGATGGTTAAAATGGCGGTTGGGGCGGAGGTGGGACTAGAGAAAGGGCCTCGTGGGCGCGCTAGGCCTCCCGCCGCCCCGCCCCGCCCCTCCCCCGGCCGGCCTTCGCTCGCGCCGCACCCGTGCTGGCTGCTTTGGAGGTTGCGAAAACGGGGTGGCGGGTTCCACCGAACAAAGGGCGGTGCGGCGGTGAGGCCTGAGGGACGCTCCCTAAGATGGCGGACGGAGGTGGGGAGCGCGGAGTCCGTCGCTTCCGTTCCTGGCCCCGGCTCACGTGGGGAGGGCGGGGCGGGAGCGCCGACTAGTCCCCATGGCTGCCACACCAGAGCCCCAAGAGCCTGGAAAGAAGGTAATGCTGGCGGTGGGGTGGCCGGGCGGGCGCAGGCTTCCTAGGCCCTTCAGACCGTGGGCCATTCGAGTACTTCCCACGTCCCAGGAGTCTGGATACGATTAAAGTCCTAAAGCCTAGCGTCTTGGCCTCTGCCTGCAATCCCAGCAGTGGGGAAGCGGAGGCTGGATGATAATCGTGTTGCAGGGCCCGGGTTAGTTAAGTGAACCCCCACCAAAAACGTATATATGAAAATTTATACCTATTAGGCAAAGTAAAAATTTAGAGAACTGTACCACAAGGCACCAAATTAGGTACCAAGGAGAGAGCCTTGACCGAAAATTAACCCAAGTTTTTGTCCTTGCTGAAGCTGACATTCTCCTGGGGGAAACGGAAAGTAAGAATTCCACCTGCTAAACCAGCATGTGTAAAAAGGCTCGATATAGGTGTGCATGGACTAGGAAAATTGGGTTACAAAAGCTGGTGCATTTTTATCATTGATAAGGAGTGCATACTATTCCAAGGAGTCTCTAGTAAGGTGGTCACCAGTAAGTTTTACAGGCACAGAAGAATGCTAAAAGCTGGTGCATTTTTATCATTGATAAGGAGTGCATACTATTCCAAGGAGTCAAGTTTTACAGGCACAGAAGAATGCTAAGACACTATTGACGGATGACAATTTGGTAGAATTAAGAGTGTAGAATCTGGATAATCTAGACTTGCTGGATACACCGTCATGCATTCGATGAGATGCAAATCATGACTTTGGAGAAGTGGTTCTGGCTGCTCTTAACGAAGTTCTGGATCGTTCCAAGGGGTCTGATGTTCTCTTTGGCCTCTGAAGGTATTGCCCATTTGCCTACTCATAAGCCCTCTTCAAGTTTGCTCTTTGCCTTCACCAGACTGACTTATCAGAAGTCAAAAGGCCCAGGGGAAGCTGAAGGGTGCTGTGAACTCTTCCCTACCACGTAAGACCATGGTAAAGTACGGGGCCTGACACTCATCTGCAGTGAGCTGCTATGAAGTTATCATATGTATATGTTGTGTATATGGCCTTTGAAAATTTAAATCAGTTTGATACAAATTACACTGGATGGCTGCGAGGGGGCAACTAAGAGTTATGGGTTCTCAACTTTAGTCAATTCTTTTAGAAACCAGGCATGCCTTTAATCTGAGCAGCTGGGAGGCAATTGCAAGCAGATCTCTTGAGTTCCAGGCCAGCTGGGGCTGTAGGGAGACCCTGTCTCAAAAACAAAAAGTTGTAGGAACGTGATGCTCTTAAATTGCCAAACAGGCTCACCGTGCATGCCTTTGGTTTCTGAGCACTTGTCCTTAAAAAGCCAAACTATTCCATTCAGTTCACTTAGGGCAGCCTCACAGTCCTTCATCCCTGATCCTAATCAGATGAAAGTCAGACCTACTACCTGATTCTAGTTAAATATTCCAAATTTCGGCAAGTACATTCTAGTGCATTTAGAGCCAGGGGAGATAGTGCCTATACTTTCCAGAATGTTCCAAGAGCACTGGTCCACGTTATTAGTATGTATGTACAGGAGGTGTTTCTCAGCATCTAGACACAAGGGTAAACCAGGTGGGAAGGCTTTTGACCAACCTTGCAGTTTTTTATCTCTTATCTTGTGGTTGAAACTGCTCACTCCTGTGCATCTAAGACCTGATAAGGTGAACACTACAGTACATCTGTGAGCCTAACAGCTCTCAAATTCTGTTATATCAAAGAGTGACTTAGGAAACTTGAGTCTTGCAGCTACAAGCACCTCATGTGTTGTGTAGGAAAGACACACAAACTGGTCTTGTAGGAAATGCCTTTAAAGTTACATTGTGTTCCAGCAGATCGTTGAATCGAAGAAATGAAGAGACAACCTTAAATCTAAGGCTTGTTTTATAGTCCTGGAGACAGAACACATGGTCTTGCACATACTAAAGATTTGTACTCTACCAGTGGTAAAAATCATCCCTTTGGAACCCAGGCAGTCTTCCTCAATTCCCTGAGCATTGGGTGACATGTCACTGGGAAAGATTACAGAGTTATTTGGACACCATATATTACCAATCACTGCGACCTCACATCAGAGACAAAGAAACAGACCAAAGCAATTATTGTCTATATGAGCATGAAATGTTTATTTTTGAAATTACATTCACCCAGAGGAACTCTTATTTTCTGAAGACAGGGTCTCCCTGTAGCCCCAGTTGGCCTCATCTCTCAAGACCTGCCTACCTCATACTCCTGAGTGCTGGGATTATGGTATCTACCACCATGCCAACCACATTTAATAGAAATGTTTCGTCTGCATTTAAGTGTACCCATGTCACATAGAGCACAGGCCAGAAGTGGGCATTAGGTCCCTTGGAATTGGGTTAAGGATGGTTGTTAGGCATAGGTGCTGGGAACAGAACCCCACTCGTCCTCTTCGGCCAAACAGGAACTTTTAAAGCAGCACTAAAGTGTTATAGTTTAAGTGACTCCCAAGATTGTATGATGAAAGCAAATTTATTTTAGTGATAAATTTGCAAGTTTAAGAACTCAAGGGTAATAGCCAAGTCCCTAACAAAGGAATGGCGTTCATATTGTGCTCTTCACCATTTTCTTGTTCAATCTAGGTTCTTTTTCATTTTATCGTAGACCTTTAAGCTCTTAGGAATCTTAGATGTTGAAAATATTCCCTGTGCACGGGACTCAGTATTATATGGCTCATTAGGATCTGTTGTGGCTGGACTTGGACATTTCTTGGTAACCAGTGAGTATGTTTATTTCTCTAGGCATTAAAGCATTTCATTTGTAAAGAATTTCCTGGGTAAGTTTAGTTATACTGGTCATGCTTATTCTTGACAGGTAGAATTAGAAGATCATGTGATGTTGGAGTAGGAGGATTTATTGTGGTGACCTTAGGATGCTGGTATGTTTGCTGGTATTCCAGAAAAAAACTTTTTGAGACAGGGTCTCCCTGTAGCCCCAGCTGGCTTGGAACTATGTAGATCAGGCTGCCCTCAAACTCAGAGATCCACCTGCTGAGACTACAGATGTGCACCACCATGCCTGATGAAAATTCAGTTTTTTATGTATATGCATGTATTGCTTGCACATAGGTTAAGTGTACCCATGTCATGCAATATCTGTGGAGGACAGAAGAGGCTGTTGGATCCCCTGGAACTGGAGTTACGGACAGTTGTTAGCTGCCATGTGGGTGCTGGGATTTGAAACTGGGCCTTGTGTAAGAACAGCCAGTGTTAACCGCTGAGCCATCTCTCCAGCTCTGAAAATTTGTTTTTAAAGGAACCATGTTCTTCCAAGAAGCCTCATAGACTTCTACTCTCAATGAATAATTATTAAGTTTTTTTTTTCTCCTGGAAATCTGTCCTATATGTGTGATCACTGAAATGCACAAATACCCTATTATTGTTCATTGAATGCTTGAACAGATCAGGTTAATGAATGACAGCAAATGAATATAAAATTAAAATACACATTGAGCAATGTAAGCCAAAACCAAGAGATTCCTATTATATATTGGTTCCAGTCAAGTTCTACAGCAGGTACATGAAGCTAAGTTGACAGGAATCTCAATTTTATGTGAATAGTTGTTTTGTTTCTTAAAGCATAAGCACTACAAACCACCTAAAAACACTGCCCCACATTGTTTAATCTTGGGTAGTCATCTATCAGCATTTTGGAATTGTATAATTGCTAAAATTTCCTAAGTCACTTCATTTATGTACTACTTTACTCATTCTTTCTTACAAGGTTCCACTGTAGGTATAATTACGCAAAGCAAAAAATCCAGGAAAGAATTACCAGAGAAGGAATTAGAAATCAGATTTTGTATGAAAGCACCCACCTTGATCCTGAAAGAAAACAAATCAACAAGAGTAACAGCAGCAACTAAGCAACCTTGAGCATGGAAGACAACAGGACTCCAAAGTCAGTCAGCATTCCTTGTGATCAGCCACGTACACTACGTATAATGAAAAAGTTCAATGAAGTAATTTGTGAGCTGTGTCTATCACTTATACTTTCCATTTAATATGGGCCTTTTACTGCTGCCACCGTATTCCTTAGTTACATATAATGGAAATGCCATGGCAAAAATATTAAGATTTTATTGGCAAAATAAAACTTTGTAAAGCTAAGTGTTTTAGTGTTCTTGGAAGGTTTCCTTGCAATAAATAAGATCTGAATGGAAATTAAATCAATCTCCCAGTTGGATTTTTAAACTTGCCTTAAAAGCAGAAATTGCAACCTTTCAAGTGCTTTTAGTATTTCCAAGTGGGCAGCAGTTTTGAATTTAGATGTGAACATGTTATGCACACATTTCACAATGAAATTGTTAAAAGCTGGTCAAAATTTGCAGAACCATATACTTGTTAATGTGGAGCCACTTGTTAGCCAACTGCCATTAAAAATTAAGAATAAATAGGGCCAAAGATTTAGTTCAATTGGTAGAGCACATGCCTACCAGGTTCTATCCACAGCATGTCCTATAGCTCAAGCAGGAAATGAATTCCAAGACCCAGGCTAGCCTACGGTACATGAGATCCTATTTCAAAGAACCAAAAGAATGAAAGTGCTGACATTTAACTCCGTAGGTATTTGCTCATCCAGAAAAATAAACAAGCTGGTAGAATAAAAGGGGAAATACATCAAGACAAATTTTTTGTCCATTATTGGTTCCTGTATTGTGTGTCAAGGTGACAGAACAAGAAATGGTTTGAAACTTGTTGCTCTGTATCCTTCAAAGGAAAAGCAAGACTGCAACTCAGAGCATTTACTCTCCTTACATGCCTTACCACACCTTAAGGCTGTCACCAGGTGCAGAGGTTTATGCTTTCCCAAATGCAGAACTACCAGTGAATGAATGATGGTTTAAACACATGTTCACCTGGCAGCCATTACAGAAGGGCTTAGGCCACTCTTCCAAGCCCAGGCCATACAGTACATTCTACATTACACCAATTGGTCATGACCAAATTAGTGGAGGAAATTCCATGTGATTGATAGGCTCTTAAATTTAGGTCATAAGAAGCAGGACTTAAGTGAGGGGAATACTGATGACCACTGATCTGATAGCAAGCTGTGGACAGGCCACTTATGTGCTCAGGTTCAGTTTGCTACCATACTGAACATGGGTAGTTGGTTTAAGCTCCTTTTAGCTTTGGCACACTGCAATTACATCTTACCGTTTGTGGAAAGAGAAACCTCTTTCAGTTGGTAAAATTTCCAATGTCTTCACTATTAACAAGGTTAGTTCATTTTCACAGCAGCATGATTGCACAAACTGGATAAAAAGAGTTACAAAGAGCTTAATTTCACCTGGCAAATGTTACATATATGACCACTAACTTTTAAAATATATTAACACTCTCAGAGGCTGGTTTTGAACATGCACAATTCACTGCATCTGTACAAGCCAATTTATTTCTACCACACCCAATCTGTTAAGTCTCCTGTACACTATCATTTCAATCCTTGCTAGAACTTATAATGTCTTTATCACTTTACCATCTCTGTGACTTTCCATTTGTCTCCTCAGTCATCCCTGGGCATTAGTCACCTTTGTGCCTTATACTATTTTGAGTCTCCCGTAGGTGGCACTTTCCTTGGTCATAGACACATGCTACATAAAGCCTAGGTTTCTATTAGTAAAAATCTAGTCCATTTTCATCTTTTCATTCAAGTATCTAGTACAAACAGTCCACAAATGCTGATTTTTCTGTTTACTAGACAAAAATCCAAGTTACACCCCCCCCACCTCTTCCCATCCAAACTTTCACACATTTCCAATTTTGAACTCAACCTTACCTTCCATGCCCTCTCCGTGACTCCAAGCATACTGCCTCCTTCACTGCTCCACTAATTCCGAAATTTCGTACTAGGTGATCTAGCAGTAGGTACCAGCTAAATAGCTGATCAAAATAGAATTGTAGTGTTAGTAGTTTTGAAAACTTTTATAGCTTATCTACCATTCCTACTTTGACAGATCTTATAGTAGCTATAGGCCTTTTCCCTTCCCTCAAACCCTCCCTCTTTGATTTGATTACTGGCTTTTCCACCTCAGTAAAGACCTCAGGGAATTTAAAATGAGTTTTTCTGGACTTAGGATTTGTATCAACTGAATTTGGCAACAGTAAAATTGTGCTAAAACCATTATATGATTTGCAAGCATCTCTTCAGTCTACGTACCTCTAACTCCATCGGTGGTTTCCCTTTGCTTCGATTATATAATGCGAGGAGGTCTATATATAAATTCAGGATTCCTGTTTATGCACTTTTCAGCAAAGAGCTAAGGATCAAATAGGGTTTGAATCCTAGTCCTAGATAAAAATCTGTAAGGTGTCTAGGCACCCCTTAAAAGTCGTATTTATATTTCTTGCATACTATGTAGAACCTTAAGTAGATTTCTATACTGATTGGTATTTTACACATCTTATACAGTTCAATTTTTAAATGGTTAACTTTTCTCAAAAGCTGTTGCAACAAGAAAATTAAGTTTTTTTTCACAGTACAATTTAAAGTTCAGAATGTGAACACTAATTGAGCTGTTAATTTTTACTGATTAATAAAAAGGGCAGGGTCAGTTAGTCTAGTCTAGCCTTAAACTCAATCCTGTCTCAACCTTACAAAGTGCTGGATTATAGGCATATGTCTGGCTACAAATTAGTGTTTCTCAACCACCAATTACCTACTCTCACTGATGCCGAGGTGGTTACTGTGGGCTACTAGACAAATGTTTCTATTTTCCACTTTTCAGTTAAGTGTAGATCCATGTTAACTTCCAAAGTTCTCTGTACTTTCAACTATTGGGGGAGTAATCTTTGCATATACTACCTGAAAGATGTTACCAAGAACAGTCCATCAATCAGGCCAAAATATGCCTTCCACAGAAACAAAGTGTATTTAACAGTTTTGTCTAACAATGCTTATGAAACCTTGAGCTGCCTGCTCTTTGAGGCCATTAGGCTGCTTTGAGGACACAGCCACGTTTCCACTGCACAAACCCTGTAACCACCAAGTCCATTTTTTTGCGGTGTATTTAGGGAAAATAAGACTTCTAAGCTTTTGAAGTCTTCAATAAATTTCAGTCTCACAGTAGTATGCATGCTTTCTGGACCGGTACAACCAGTTAGCAAGGTTTCCCTGATAATTTCAGTCACCTGTTTTCCTAGCCGACTTTACACCTCAAGAATGTATTATCACTTCATTACTCAAAAGACTATATATCCTGTTTTCCTAAAGCTGGTATCTAAGTGTAAAAGAAAAAAAAAGGTAAACAAAGGGCAGAAAGGTACCCCAATGTTCAGTCTTATGATAGGGTCTCTGTATGTAAATAATGACAAACTCTTTGAGGGTTTTCCAAAATGTTAAGTAACAGGTCAAGTCTTTACATATTCCTTTAAACTTAATGCAAAACCATTACTGGTATACAATTTAGAAAAGGTTTTAAAATAGAGCTTCTGTCTACTTAGTTGCTAATTTTAGTTTAAGGTCATCCTGAAAAATCTAACATAACTGACAAATAGACAAGCAGCAATTAATTTGGAATACCTATTGGAATCACTGGAACACATTTAGTTGGGCCCTTTTACTCTTCACACAGTATTCACATGGACAGACTAAGGAAAAGGAGATGAGATTTAATTAAGTACATTTTATTACTGTTAAAATGTTGGAATCTTTCTTACTTGTCCATGACTCCCATTTCAACTAGCTAGGTTATCTGAAAAACTTCATTACCAAGAAAGGTATTAATTATGATGGAATACTTCTAAAACATACATTTTAAGTTAAATGTCTACTCTAGCCATCTATTTTGTTCTTTGTACCTTCAGTGTTTTAGTATCAACTTTCATCAGGTAGGCATCTGAGTATATAGGAATGTTTACTGTTAAGACTCATTTTGTACTATTGTACAATTGGACTGTCAAAAAGAAAAGCAGGACAAGCTCACAAATAAAGTAATAGTGGGTGTGTTTGACAGTTACTCTCCAGACTGCAGTCCTTGAGTAACAACTTTCATATGCTCAATTATGCCATGGTCAAGCCCAATTTAACTGTCCAACGGCAAAACCTAAGACATTCCAGATTACAGACTACCTAGACTGTCAGATCCAGTCATGAAGTTCTTTTATGTGATCTCAATGTTTACAAAGCAACCCACCCACTCTCCCACATTCCTTCTCTTAAATACATACTGAATTTGGGGGCTTAAAAAAAAAAAAAAAAAAAGCACCTAACCTTTCTGACTTTCAATTATACCTTAAAAACTCAATGAACTTCTAGAGCAATTTCAACGTTCAACTGCCTGAACTTTTACTCATCTGGCAAAGATGTTTAAATTGCATAAATACCATCATCTTTTTCAGTTATTTCCATCCTGCTGTTTTGTGTGATGAGATTGACAAGTATTTACAAATAAACTACCATACACATTTTAGCAAAATCAAGATCTTTAGTTCTTTAAAGCTTTCCTATACCAATACACAAGGACCAAGTATTATTTCAATCAGCACTGTAGCTGACTTCCAAATTTTCAAGGGCTTAGAAATAAAGGTTAGTAAGGACAAGGATTAATAAGACAACGGTCACTCCAATGAGTTAGCCGGACAAAGTACTTTTAATGCTTATTAGATCTTACAAACATGTCCTATAGTAGTACCAAGTTTAAAAAAAAAATCTGGGGATTAAAAACTCAAAAATGCACTTTACTGGCTATGGCTGAAATCTCCCATCTCTTTTACTAGTTGAGAAATTCCAGCTATACCAACCACCACCTCCCCGCCACAAAATGCTATCCTATAAATCATACAAGGGCTCTCATAGGAACTCTAGCTCTCATTCAATGCTTTAGTTTAAGGTTTGGGAATTAATTATAGAGATTTGTAGTTTATGTTGAGTTCAAGTTCTTTTATTTCTGATGAGGTGTGAGATTCCAATGCATAGGTATTATAACCTATCCCTAGACCTTAATAGCTTTGCTTTTATTATTTAAAAAAGTTAAAAATTAAACCCAGTTTCCAAACTTGATGTCCAGCAAAAAACAAGACTAAAACCATCTTGGGGATTTTAAGAAAATTGCTTATTCATCTTTCCAGGGGGAAACATCTAAATGCATACTGGAGGTTGCAATGTCTGTTTACTTTTAGACTATATATTACTCTTATATGCAAAAAAGAAAATGCAGAGTTTTAAGCT